CCGACAATTTTTCAGGGTCCATACCTCAAGAGTTGTCCCTCTTGCAGCGCCTGAGGATTATAGATATGGAAGCCAATTCATTGACCGGACAAGTTCCGGTGTGGTTTGGCGCTTTACCTCAGCTTGAGCGACTGAACCTTAGAAACAACACGCTCAGTGGAAAAATTCCAGAGGAGTTTGGCAATTGTTCTTCCCTGCAACTACTATATCTGTCGTTTAACCAGTTGACTGGCTCCATTCCATATATTATCTTCAATTTGTCATCCATTAGAGAGATTCGGGCTTCGTACAATTACCTCTCGGGTACGCTTCCAAGTGATATGTGCAACAATCTACCGAACCTGACTTTGTTTGCGGTGTCGAGCAATCAATTGGAGGGCAGCATTCCATCAAATATAGGCAACTGCACAAATCTTGAGGTCCTTTCGTTATCCTTCAACCGTTTCAATGAGGAAATCCCAAGCGAAGTTGCAAATTTGAGCATGCTTAGGCTGTTGTATCTGGCGAAAAATGAGTTGAAAGGTACATCATCACATTAATTAGATTACACCAAATATATACAAGTGCACAAAGCTTGGGATTCCACCATATATATATAAGATCGGAGCTCAGGAACTTGGGATTTTTTTTAAATAATTTCTCAAGTTTTAATTACAATATATAACATTATTTTGTACAACTAAATTGTACGTGCAATGCACGTGGTGTCGAATAATTTTCGCTAAGTAAGTTTGTAAAAGTAATTTAACTAGTTATTAAACATATTATTGTAAGAATGAAATAAAATATAGAACAAATGAACGTGATTTTTTTTTTAAAATTAACGTAATGATGTCTTAATATAAAAAGAGTTAAATAACGTTTTACAACCTCCAACAAAAATATATAAAAAAACAAATCACTAATAAAAAACACTAAGATTTTGTTTCATTTTGATTTTGACGTTCTCATAAGAAACATGCATACTCGTTGGAATCCAATACATCAAAACTATTACAATTTTTTTTTTTAATTTATTTGGTAAAACGCCAATTTTATTCAAACACTTAAGAAACATTATGACCCAATACATAGTCAAATTTCATGATAGTATAATCTTTATAATAAGGTATTTCTACTAACAATGCATAAATACCTCTATGAAATAACTATGTCAGTAACATTGCTGATATTTTTTTATCATTGTATAAACTCTTACATTCCTCTGTCTCTAGACATATTGGTGCCTACTCCATTGATGCATCGCCCCACGAGGTGGGAATGAATTTTATCTCTAAATAAAAGTTCACATTCCAAAATCTTGGTTACATGTATTTCTGTCGAGGGGCTAAATTATTTTTTGAAATCATCACACATTACCTGAAAATACCTGAAACGTATATTTAATTACGAGTGAGCGAAATGTAGTACGAACGTGCTCAGAAATTATAAATGTGGAAGCAATAAACCGAAGATTTAAACAACTCTTCAGGGAAACGTCCTACTTCCTCTCAGAGCTCTTTCATTGATAAATCGTACAATGACATAGTTTGGACTTACAAGACTTGAACTCCCTTCTAGTGTAGCCACAACCATTCACGATCCTATCAACTATTTTTCCGGCCACGTTCCGTGGACTTTTTTACTTACACTTAATCCCTAAGTGTGCTATATGAAAGTGTTTGAGGAAAACAAAGAAAAGCAAAACAAAACAGCTTCAGTTCTGGCACATGTAAGAAGCAGGCAACTGAACTGTAAACAAAGAATACAAGATAAACTGAAGCTCGAATAATACTAAGGTAAGTGAATATCAGCAGCAGCCTCTTTCGATCTTCACATAAGGTATTTATATATCATCTTAGGCGTGGAGTCTTTTCCAAGTAATATGACTCCTTGAGATTTCCTTCCTTATTTGTAGCATGTGTTTTGGTAAGTGTGGATCTTCTTATTTCTCTCTCCAAAGATCTCCTACTCATGCATGCCTCTCTTTCCTTTTCGCCATAGAATTCGATTCCCTATAATAAAGGATACCATAATAAGATCTATGCAATCTTCTATATGAGTATATAAATAATCAAAGTAAGGAAATAATACAAATAAAAAGTCTTCCCCTTTATTTGTGGTTCCAGGTGCTTATTCGAACATGCGAACTAATGTCAAACAAAAATATCTTTCAATCTCCCTCTTTGGCATCTAATTCAAAAACAACAAACTTAAAGATTTCCTGAAAAGTGAGAACAACAAGCACCAGACAGTAAAACCACATCAAGGGGTTAGTCCAATTAATCTAAAAAAATGATGACTGTGAACAAACACAGTTCTCCCCCTTAGTTCCTGCAAGCAGCCATATAAAACAAACAGATCAAACAAGCAAACTACCATTCATACCAACCAACAGGAGTTCATCAAAACAATCACAGCCAGTAGCAAATATCAACACATCACAAAAGCAAAAGAAATATGAGGTTCTTTGATACATCAAGACCTCCCTACATCACTCAAAAGCAAACACTCAAACAAGCTAATTCCCAACAACATAGTTCTCAATGGCATCATCTGTTGAGTCACCCCAAGAGTCCGAATCCTCATCCTTCTTAGCACTTTTCTCCCCCTTTCTTGAACTACGGGATGCCGAAGGGCCTGTCCCCGAGTTCTTGCGCTTGGATCCTTTGATGGCCTGAAGTACTTGTCGAAGGTAGGCTTGCTGAGCTGCAACCTTCTTAGCTAACTCATTCCATTCGCCAATCTGCTAAGTCACAAACTCATCCCAGTTCTTAGGGACCAAGGAAGGGGCAAGTTCCTTAGTGCCCTTAGATACACCCTTATCATTGAGCGTGCGAGCGCTCACAGTGAGCGGCTTGCCAGGGCCTACAAGAGTATCTTGATAGCGAGGATTGGCAGAGAAATTGTGGGCAGCTAGAAAGGACCAAATCAAACAAGAGAAGGGATGGGACTTGCGAGAGTCTACATTGGCAACAGAAGATTGAAGAATATCGAAAACGATATCTCCGAAACTGAAAACCTTCCCTATCATGACCCAGTAAATAACCTTGCACTGCAACTCGGTGAGAAGAGTTTTGTTTGAAGTAGGGGTCCAATTACCAGCTCCAATCTTATACAAAAGATTGACAACCAAGCAAAGGGAGCTGACAGGAAGGTTGAAATCAGGCCAAGTGTCCAACTGACCAGAGGTAAGAACCTTGGTCATGGCGTCAAGATCAACCTCAGTGAGGGAAGAATTATCAATATCAGAGGGTAAACCAATATGGGCATTCAACAAGGCAGGAGACACAACCACATCAAGTCCATGTACATCAGCTCCATGATGTGGTTCAGCCTCTTATGTGACGCCCTTTTCTGTTTGCCCATTTGACCCGAACCACAAACGTGAGATTCTTCCTTATTCAGCTTGGGCAGACCTCGAACAACACATGTAGAGGATAGTTCAAGTAAGTGAGGATAGTTTATATGACCTAACTTTTGATGCCAGAGTTCAGTTGTGTCTACACTGGTTTTATGACACTTTAAATCAAGTTCCACTAGATAACAATTATCCTTGGACCTAGTACCAGTAAGAACATGCTTGATTTCTTGATCAGACACATGACACTATGACTTAGTAAAATTCACATATAGACCCTAATCACATAATTGGCTTATACTCAAAAGATTGACTTTCAAATTTTGAACCAGAAGGACATTTTGAAGTTTGGGCAGACCAAGAACGTTCAAACATCATATTCCAAGAACCTTATTCTTCGCACCATCACCAAAAGTTACTGAACTAGAAGGAACAGGCATAATATTAGTTAAGTTAGATCTCAAACCTGTCATGTGACGAGAACAACCACTATTAAAGCACCAGTCAGAATTAGACGTGGATTTCAAGTCAAGTATAGAAGACAAACATATGTTCTTACTTTCTTTGGGAACCCAAACCTTTTTCTGTTCGTGGTTTACTATGTCTACCTTCAGTTTAGGTGCTTTCAAGGGAACACTATGAGGACTCCAGTCATTAATTCGACCACTATAGATATCATTATGCATTCTATAACACTTGGGACGAATATGACCGCGAATCCCATAGCAGTGACAAACGGGTACAAAGTTCTTACCAAAATTTTTGTGCTAAGCTTTAGGAGAGTTTGGCTTACCATTCTTGGCATCAATTGAATAGCCTTCTTTAACAAAGTTCAGATTAGCCTTACTCTGTGAGGAGCTTGATTTCACAAACCTTGCCTTTCAGTTTCTGGTTGTGGGAGTTCTTACCCTGATTAGATGAACCAATCTGATGACTCAATCTTTGAACTTCAGCGAACGATGATTTTAGCTTATTGATGAGTTTGACAATTTCCTCACTCTTACTGAGCTCTTCTTCCAAGGTAGAGCAATGACTTTGAAGTGTCATATGTTCTTTCATCACACAACTGAGTTCCTCTTTGAGAACGACAATCTCAGTTTCTCTTTCACTTACAAGGTTCTGCAGAGCAAACAACTTGTTACGCAAGGATTCAATAGTAAAATTTCGTTCATCACTTGCCTGTTTAAAATATGTGGAAGAAAACAAATAATGGTGCCCACATATTGTAGTTGATTTTAGGGGTGTGGAATGATTTATTCATTTATTTGTATTTAATTAATTAAATATTAGTTATTAATTAAAAATATAAGATATGATTGACATTAGTATGTTACTAATTTGCCATGAAAAATAAAGTAAGAGTTTTTTAAGTAGTTCAATTTTTATTTAAAAATATAAAATATGATGTGTATTGGTGTATTACTAACTAGTACAACACCCGTGTACTACACGGGTGCTTGTTAAAAAAATAATCTTAAATTTTAAAATTTATGAGAAAACTATATTAATTTTAGTTCACTTTTTTACAAAAGAAAATATGTTACTATATATTTTAGAATGATATGTGTTACTTATGACTTACATGTGTTATATTATATTAGTTTTTATAACTTATATCATATAACTACTTGAAATATAAATATATTAATTGATAAATAATTTATTTTTCTAATTAATATTAAAAATAATTTTATTATTGTTATAAAGATAAATATAAATTATTTTTTTTATACATACAATATGGATGTTAAATCGAAGTTCATCAAAAGAAGATTAATTTGATATATTACATATTTAAAACTGATAAAAAATACAAAAGTTATTAACTTTTAAAATATATATACAATTCAATAGTTACAATAAGGAATGATATTAAAATACAATTAATACATGTAACATGACCATAAATAATCAACATATTTATGGTAATCCGAACCTAATTATTTTTTGTTTGGAATTAAATTAAAATTTACATAAGCCTAATAACGAAACATGTAATTTTGCCACATAGGATTCCGAAGCAACAGAAACAGCCACGTAGGCTCAGCGCGTACTGTATTAATATATAGGGGTGATTTGCCATTAAATTGTGTCAAAGTAAGAGTTTTTCTAATAATTCATATTTTTACAAAAATACTCGTCCTTTTAAAGTAGTACTAGTATTGATACCCGTGCGATGCACGGGGTATACTATAGATT